GTGTGCCCGCTGCACCAGCTGTTGTAGATGCAGTGCCAGAAGTTAAGAGCTTGCTCGCTGAAGAATCTGCACTCGCTGCCGTCTCCACCGCCGATGCTGCGCCAGAACAACCCACCGATACTGAAAAATTACAACAACCAGAAGCTGTTAAGGAACAATTGAAAGCTGCTGCCTCCGAGCCAGCTGCTGAGAAGGCGGCATTAACGGCGCAAGCGCCAGCCGGAGACATTCTCCAACAAGCAAGTGAAGAGAACAGCGCCAAGGCATTGAAGGCTGAGGAGCCAACACAACTATCCATTGCCGCACCCGCCGTACCAGAAGGCAAAAAAGTGGAGGAAGCCGCAGCCGCCGCCGCACCTGCTCCAGTTGAGTTGCAGCAAGAGCAACAAAAAGAAATCAAGCCCGAGGTAAAAGAAAGCGAGCCCAAGACATTGGAGGAAAAGAAACCCATTACTGAGGCTGAGAAACCAAGCGAGAGCAAGAAATCTGAGGGATCCAAGAACGCCGATTCATCCGGCTCTTCCGAGTCAAAGGAAAGCAGCGAATCCAAGGAGGACAAATCAGATTAGAAATCTAAATGATAAGATCAAATACCTCCCCTCCATAAGTTTACAAAAACAAAAAAAAATTTAAATAAAATAATAATTTGACAACACTTCAAGACAGCCATTAATCGGGAAATGGATTATGCAAAAACAATACGACCGACGTAAAGTGGTCACAAACTCAACGCTCTTAATAATATTTAGCTAGTTATTTTAGTTGTAAAAACTATTTAGAAAGAAACTAAATCAACAAAACGGACAAAACGAGGGACCGAGTTACTAATATTTACAATAAACAAGGCAAGCATTAGTACCACATAGGCAGTGATAACAAAAACACGGCAGTTATAAAACAACAATACAAGTCAAGATCAGTAGTTAGATGCCGAGATGACAAACGGGCACGTTGACTGACGACGTCGACCGCAGATGCAGACAATCGGCTTGAGCGTCGTCTAGATTTGTCATCGGCAAATTCAGAGGTATTCCAGTCCTCAACAGCATTAAATACCGAAACAAAGGTTAACATCGCTAACAGTGGAGCAAATGTAAGGACAAACCAAGAAGATGGCACACACAAGCAGTAATACTTACACAAGTAATTATGATACATACTACATACATACATATGTATGTGTATATCATAAATTATTTACATAAATCAAAATAACATCTAAGCTTAATTAAATTAAAAAAAAAAAGAACATACAATTAAATCTACATACAACACGCTGTAGGGTGATGTTAGAGTCGAGGGAATATCTAATTTTAATGTTATAAGTATTGTACGAGTAGTTATTGCACAAAACTACTTTTAAGTTTTTTAGCCACTCCGAATTGGTAGAAGAAATACATTGCACACACGCACACATACATATGCGCACGTATTTATGTACGTACGTGTGTGGCGATAACCCTAGCATTCAGAATTGAAAAGCAACTCGACAGCAGAATCCGACAATCCGACCCGCTCAATAAAAATAAATACACATACCAATATTTTTAATAATACAATACACCAACATACATACATACAAACGTTAGATAATATTGTGGATCAATTACGTTTAATTTTTTAAATTATATATGTACGTTTTAATTTTTATGAAAAATTTCTGCTGGCACTTGCAAGTTTTCAAGTTTTTTTTTTTTGGTCTTCAATTATCTATGCGCTTTTATGGTGGCTGCGACTTTCAATTACATTTCGAACAAAAACGCACTTTGGTGTAATTGAAATGTTGTTGGAGACGCACTCAATTCGGATGTGTATGGGATAGCAAACAAAATACGTTGGTGACTACATAACACCTACATATACATACCATACATACCATACATACATATGAATTAGATGTATTTGTACGATTTTTATATAGACTGACATTTTTGGATAAAAAATAATAAAAAAACAATAAAAATCAACATGCATATTGTTATTTATTTATTTTAGGCAAGAGACGGCATAGCAAATAGTTAAGAAACTGCACTAATGTAGACGAATTACAGGTTTATGGTGGTGACTACTTTCTTGGCATTGGCATGTCCGGGAATAATTCAAAAGTCCTTGCACAAACACACAGACTTTCATCTAACGCGCAGGCGGAAAATCGCGCAATGAGGGACAACCGACCAACATATGGAAAATTTTAAATTTTAAAAGTTAAAAATTAGCACATCAAATCACATAGTTTTTAACCCGTTTTAGCCCGCGCGTCAAGAAGAGCTGGACTGATCCTTTTTTTTAGTTGATCGCACTTTAGATATCGGTGCGCGATATCATAAATTAAGAGCCGACTGTAAATGCCGAAAATTGGCAGAGAGCTCGGCTGAAACATAGCAAAAAGACGATTTTATGTTTCTCTGGAACATTTTCAGAAAACGGTCTTACCACGTTTCTATCCTTAGGTAGCGAGAGACATAACAGTACTTATAATCAGGGACCAAAAACAAAAGGTATGTTCGAAACTAAATGTCGCTCTCGTAGTTTTGTTCCCAAGTACGCTTAAATGGGAATTACAGTATTCCCCGCTTAGTTGCACTTCAAAAATTACACAATTTTTGGTTAAATTAAACAAGGAATCAATTTACCGATTCTCGTTTAATTGAATAGTTCGATCAATTACAGAAATTCTGCTAAATTGGACAACCTAATCAATTACAAAAAAATGCATGTCTGCATTTTAAATTTAATTATATTTACATAGTTTCAACTTTGAACAAAAAAAAAATTAAGGCAATTAGCGCTCCATTCACCTACAATTTTTACGAAAGTTTGTTGATTTTTTTTTCTTAATATTGAACAAAGCTTGAAATTTGAATTTACACTAGTTCTAATAAAGAAAGAACTATATTTTTATTAAAATAATAACCAAAATTAAATTATAAAAAAAAAATATCTGAAACTTGTCAAAATGTGGTGCGGTATAATGTTCGACCACGTATGTAAACATGTGACAAGAAAATATATCAAAAATTCAACGCTTGAAGGAAAGCTTTCGACAAACACATAAACAGAGTGAAGTCCCACACTGTATGCCGTAACGTGTGAAAGGACACGGTAGATATAGCAATAGCCACTTTCAAGCAGTTTGTTAAAGATCACAACATTCTAGTGACCAAGGAACGCTGGAACAACTTTCGCCTTGCGAAACTTGCAGCATTACCAGGTAGTTCTATCAAAGGAAACGCTTAGGGGCCACTTCCTACCAAATTACCAAACTTGATAAATAAAGAAAAAAATTACCAATTTTGCTTATAAATTACCTAATCATAACAAGAACGAACGAATCTAGTGGAATAAGGCTAGTGTCTCAGAGTGTTGGAATTAAACAACGGTCTTACTGTAATAAATATTGGCAAACTCAGAATTCAATCTAAAATTGTTATATACATAAAGAAAGAGATATATATGTATGTGCATAAGGAATACTGTGTAAAAATCTTAAATGCAAATATTTAATCACTTTTAAATAATATGGCTTTTAAATTAAGGCGTGCGAGTAAACGTGTTAGATGACTGCGTATGGCGCTACGGGGCGTATACGTTACATAAGGGAGTGCGGCGGGTATCTGAGCATGAGTGGATATTTTTACTTTTTTCGGGATACCTTTTTTTAAGTTTTCATTTAAATACAATTTCGCGATGGACTCTTGTTCTTTATAGAAGACTGAAAAGGTAATGCATTTTCTAAGATAGGTGAACAACTCGTGAGATTTGCTCATATATGTACGTAAAATGCGAGTAAAGGGATTATTCGATTATTATGTGAGTAAAGATTCTGTACATAGAGTCAGGTGTTGTACCCGTTATTCAGTAACGAATACATACCGTTTGCTACAGCTCTATGAAACATAATTATGTAAATAAAGTCAACGAAAGACTTAAGACACGAACTTTTCTTTCACAGTTTACCCTAATGATAAACGATCTGGAAGTTAAAATGATCCAGCTTTCTTCATCTTTCTGCCCCTCTCATTCTTATTGTAAAGTTCTCGATTCTACTTTTGATAAGGCTACACCTAATTCCCTATTATATAAGTTATTCGGCCCTATCGCGAATTTCACATGAACAAATATTCCCAAAAATTATAAAGCAAAACAAAAACAATTTTTCCGATTTCTATGTGGGTTCTGCGCAAAAATACTCTGATATGCACAAGAAACGTTGTATGCCTTTGACATGCGGAAGTCCCTCTTCTCCGGCAACACAGAAAGGAGAATTCAACTTAGTAAGGGTTACAATCCCTAAGCGCCGCGAAGGCAAGAAGCAAACGCAACAGCTGGTGGACCTTACAAAATGCATGTTTTCAATGGGCTGGAAGCGGTTATTGCATTAACTGGATTGAGAACCACTTCTACAGGCATAGGAGGAGTTCTGGCTTGTGGTTCAACAATTCAACCAGAAGCTGACATGGATGCGCCCATGGTTACTTTGCCCGGCAGCTCCGCATACCTTTGCGAGTCCATTGCCATAGCGCGCTCTTACTCCACTGCTGCAAATGCATCAGAATCCATAATTTTCCTCAAAATATTTAAAGTCAACTAATTTTACTATAAACAAGCACATGATGAGTGCTTTTTTAATTCCTTTCCACTTTGTTTTCCTTCATACAGCTGACTTCGAAAAACAACTGATAGCTGGCAATGCTGCACATTTTTCCGCAAGGGTTGCAGCATGTCGATTTTTCGTTTTTCGTAACGTAGCTACGAATTACGAACTACGAAAATTCGGGTTCTAGAATAAGGGTGTTCGACACGGTTGCATTGCTCATAATACGAATTTCGCATTCAATCTTCGATAACCATCGAAGGCACTCATAATAAGGGCGGCCATGTGACAGCTGCCCATTCCAAATATGGCCATCAGGATTCATAAAAAAATCTTTGATCGGATTTTTGAACAGATTTTCGGACTTAAATGACTTATTGCCAACGCGATTATGATAAGTACTTACCGTTCGGATGAGCATTTGGCAGATGAGTATGCCTAGTGACCACCAGTCGATAGCGTGCCCGTAGGGCTCACCACGCAACACTTCCGGAGCTGCCAATAGATAAAAAGAAAGACAAAAAAAAAATGTTTATATATTATTTGCTAGAGAGAATATTTAAACGATATTTTATACGAATTTCATGTTTTGAGAAGTATTCATAGCTTAATAACTTCAACGTGTCGCCTGTATTTTTTCACCTCTATCTATTGGCACGTTGCGATAGAAGTTCAAGGCTGTTATTTTTATTGATGCAACAAAAGTGAGCAACCCATGAGCGAAATTCAGTAATCAAGAAAGAACACGACCGAAAGAGAGGGAGCTTTGTTGAGGCCACTTCGCCTTGTTCGACTTAAGGCCTATTAAAAACCTTATAAGCAATGCGATGAGCGTTGGCCTTGGGATCGCCCATATGAATAGATAAATTCAATGAAAAAAGTAGAAAGGTTCGGATAAAAGCTTTCCTACTCAATGACGGCCCTAGTAAACGGAACAAGACCTGTACGTAAACTGCGAAGGACGTATCGACTGCACGAAGTATGCATAACGCTGGCATCTACACTTTTTTTGCAGTATTTTACGTTTTTATGAACTCCAAAAATGGAATGGTGGTTTTAAAAAATACTGCATTTATATGAAAAAATACTTTTCTTGCTAACTTAGAGCCAGTTTCTCAATATCTGCTTAACACTAACTACAGGTTAAACATCAACAGACCTCAGATTCGGGTTCAGCGAGTCGAAAACCGCATATATATGAATTTTCAGTTTTATTCAATGAATTTTTCTGACGTAATGGAGACTAACAGACCCCGGAATCGCATTCAGCGCGTCGAATAATAGGGATATAGAGGTTTGGTTCAATATCCAGAAACTCTTTTTTGTAAACCTGTGTAATTATAAAAACCTTAACAAAAATTCAGACAAGAGTGATACACTGCACTTGGAAAAGCCGAGCCCTACCTAAAACTCTGACGTTCTCTGGATCACGACATTCGGTTTCAATGCAACTCCACATTGAACAATTTCTGGTTCTACCCGCATTTAGGTGGTAAACCACAGCCACCACGGTATTCCCCGAAGGGGCCGTACCCATGAAAAGACCGAAGTAATGCTCACCGGCGAGATTTGCTCGACCGGCTCGACTCACACTAGCACGACTTACACGACTACTTCACTCAACATTCATCTCCATTTCAATAAGCACACTTCATACCCTCTGGCTTCGTCTTGCTCATCACACGTCTTACTCGCCTCGCTCGTGAACAGCCTCCTCCAACCAGGAGAGGTGACTCAGTTCGCCCAACTTTCACAACGGCTCCAGCTGCTCAACTTGCATCACCTTCTACATAAATTTTTTCCACGGTTTTCCACCAATTTTTCCACCGTTTTTACAACATTTACCTTCATTTTTCATCATTCATTCAACTTCATTTTCACCATTTTTCTAGTCGTACACACTCCGGGGGCGTTCTGTTCCCCGTGGTACCAGATTAAAATCCCTTGGTAGACTTTCGAAAGCCGTAGACTTCTACCAGTTGAGCCTCCATCAACTCAGGACTGGTAGCCTTTGACTGGGGCCCCGGGCTCGTCACACCCGTGGTTCCGCTTTCGTTTCGAAACCCCCCTGGCGAAACGCACATTGACAATCAGTACAAAACAAAATTACAGCAAACACATCATTTCGGAAAAATGTCCAGAAGTACAGGAACGCAAAAAATCATATATATGTGCGTTTCGCCAGGGGGGTTTCGATATATATATATAGATCTTCCTACTTAAGGCCATCTATATATATAATACGCGAAGGCATTTTTTGTGCAGCATAAAAGATCTGCACCGTTCGTTCGATTTTCAAAAATGGGGTGTCAAATTAAAGCGCTTATGTTGTGGATGCTCAAGAAGGTTTTACTTTTTCAAAAAAGCTGCCACCTTTTCAGAAATTAAGCTCAAGTTAATTAAAAAGTTAAATCAATTATTAAATATGGGTTTCAATCGAAATGGTTTTGAAAAGGCTTTATAACTTAATTACGTATAGGAGGGTCGCCACATGTTAAAAAAATGTAATTTAATTTTTATTAAAGAAATTTGGTAAGTGAATAAGGTATCGCTATATGGGTGTCATACAAAAGAAGTTTAAGAAGGTAGTAGTTTGGAAATAATTTGAATAGGGTTGCCACCTATTTGAGAAGTCTAATTCAACTATTTTTTATATGAAATATTAACGATGGATATCAAATGAAAGAGCTTCAAGAAATACTTAGTTTGACAATTTAGAACATTTTTGATATGTTTGAGGGTTGCCCCAATTTAAAGGGCTAAACTAAAATTATTTAATAAGTTAAATGAATTACTAACCGTTGGTCATCAATGGAAATGGGTTTAAAATCCTTTATTTACGAACTATATTTAGGAGGATTGCTACGTGTTTAAAAAATAATTTTCCACATAATTCATCAGTTACATGAAATATTTATAACAATGTCAGACGAAAAATATTCTTCACATCTGCACCGTTACTTCGAATTTCCAAAATGAGAAGTCAAATTAAAGAACTGGGATTCTACATAGGTTTTATTTTTTGAAGTTACAGGGACATTTGAAATTTGATGAAATGAAAACCGACACCATGCGAGACCTCTCATCACTGAGAAATGGTTTAGATTAATCATTAGGAATATTTTTAGAGGTTTAATTAAATGTTGTCGTTTTGACGCCATGCGAGTTCACTAGTATAAAGTTATTTGTGGATTTCAGTTCCTGTGAGTCACCGATAAACTTTTCCCAATGCCTCTTAAACTTTGTATTCCGCAGTACTTTGGCCTTTCGCATGGTTCCTACCGAGAATATGGACACTATTATTTTTCTCCATATGCATATGTACAATATAACTGGTGGACACTCTAATGTATTATGTATGTGTATATTTTCTGTGTATTTGCCACACAAATAGCAACTACATATCTTTACCTTAGGGCCCTAACTAATATTCTTTCGCAAATCAGCTTCTACAAAGGTTGGTAGATTACTCACCCAGAATTTTGAAGAAATTTCCAACTTTACTCTACATGAAGTTTTGTAAATACTCTGTAAATCCATACAATTTTCCATATTAAGGTAACGATAGTATGAATGCACAGCAGGCGTCCAATTATACAAAATCTCTTGCATACGGATTTGTTTTGGGAATACTATAGGAAATATATATTTTGCGAAAGAGAGTGATTTTCTAGTATTTCCCTTCGAGAATGAACTGGACTTCACTTTCCCTCTTGTTGCTATGGTTTTAATATATTTTTTTCGAACCCATCTCAAGTGTATTTCCATTATACTATGAACGTTGGAAAACATACGAGTACATACATATATATTATTCGTAATATTGGACGTCTGCTGAACTTTCAAAGAAACATAAGCAAATGAAGAAAATCGCAAATTTATGTGCAATCAAATCAAAAGAAATAGACGAACAAGCAGACAGACAGACAACTGTGGGCGGATAAATCCTATCCAACGTTGGGTAATATTCCGAGAATAAATAACAATGCAATTATTTGATATTTTTTAAAAATTCTTTTTTACTTAATTTATTTACATATTTCATTTTTCACATCTTGTTTTTGTGTTTTTGTTTTTGTTTTTGTTCTTGCATTCATTGGGCATATACTCAACTAGATATACAATTATATTATTTCCATTGCTACAACTAATTGAATAATGGTTAAATATTCAAGTATGTATGTATGTATTTATGTATATATGTGGTAGAAATCGTCATAAACACCATTATTGTTGTTATTATCATAATTTTTTCATAATCATTATCACTAAATTACTAAATATTTATTGTTTATTATTAAAATTATGAATCATCGTGAATTGAAGTATATTATACACAACAAGCCATATCATTAATCGTGTTTCAAAAATTATACATGTATTCATCCTTTTCATATTTCACCTTATTCTCTACTATTTTATTTAAAAAAAACTTTTAGACATTTCAATAGTTTAAATTTATAATTACATAAACAAATACGGTAGACAGTAAAGTTGCAGAAAAAATTACCCAATATAAACTACATAGTAAAAGTAAATATTAATTATATTGTATCTTTGCTTACTGAACATTTAAAGTTTAATTTTCTCATATATATATATATATATATATACATATGGTGTATATATGTATGTATGTATAGTATGCATCGTCTTCATTATCATCTTAATCAATTTTGTCAAATGCACATACACATGTGTGTGTGTGTGTACGTATGCATGTTTAAATACAGGTATGTATGTTTAAATGTACATATATGTTAGTGTTAATCAATGGCTTAGAATTAGCTACTTTATGTATATTTATATGAATCACAATTATTTTTTGTTGTTGTATCAGTTATTATTGACGTATGCAAACGTGCAATACATAGTTCGCAATTAATTATATCAGATTCTTTTCGTTAGAAGACGAGCCATTTTGCGTTAAGACAGGCTCCATATCAATTTAATGATTTGTTTTTTTTTTTAATATTAATTTTAACATTTTAAATAATAGTTTGTGATACCCAGTTGGTTGCATTACAAAAATTAAAATAATATGCAACATTTTAAGACTTGTTTTACCAGGTTTTACTACTGACTAATGGTAATGGCGGATGGATGCGTCTTATATAAGTTTCCATTTTGATTTGCAACAAGATTGCATTACTGTTACTCTCATACTAAGCGCGATACATACACATAAACTTATTCCTATACTATATACTATATACATGCCTGTGTGTACCTACATATGTAGGATTAAAATTGGTAATTTATTACTTTTTTAGAATTTGGGAAGTTTTTGCTTATTTCTTCGTCTCTTTCGGCTAATCGAAATCTACTGTTCAAATCGTTGTTGCACTAAATAATAACGATGAAATTGATTTTCTTTTTTGATAATCATAAATAACTTGTAACTTGGAGGAAAGCTTTTCGTTAATTTGTTTACTACAAAACAACTAAACAAAAGATGGTAAAGTGTCCAAAGATGAGTGCACCAATCGATTAATGGTTAGAGTTTGACGATATACATATGTATGTACACATAAGTACATACACTGGCGACATATTATTTAAATGGTGCTAGGTATTACATACATATGTAGCTATCAATATGTATATAAATTTTCTGTATTTATCTTTCTATTTTTTTTTTTGTTTGTATTCAATTCAACACATTCGCGTCCTTAGTGTCGGTTAGAAATGTCCTTCTTCACGCATTATGGAATCGTTTAATAATAATTTCCAACAGAATTTTCATAACGTAATAACCATGGTATGTTTTTGAAAGAAGACACTATTCTGACCATTTTCGGCGGACAAAATTATTTTCCAGCACCTCTGAGTCTTGTGTTGTTTGCACTCATAGTTCAGGACGTAATAGAAAAAAGCTTTGTTCAACGAAAATGGATTTCACATACATTTACCCACATGCATGCATCTTAGTTATTCTATTCCATAGAAAATATTTGAATTTGTTGGAGTGTGCAAACTATTTTCCTAAGGTATAAATGTTGCTAACATTCTCGGTTAACTTATACTATTTAAAGTACTATTCGTACTTCGTGATCATAAATACATGGAATTTAGTTTATTTTCAAATCGGGCTATAAATATAGTGTGTTTGAATGTCGTGGTGGTAAACAGTTATAGAGAGGTTCGACTTAAATCAGGCGTTCGAACGGCCCGATTCTATTCTTTGTCACGATAAAATAGATAAAAGTGCAGCTTAATATTAATAACATATAATATTAATATATTATTTATATTATATATAAAATATATGACAATTTGTCTGTATGTAAATGTGGACGTGGGTTTGTGCTTAGGGACCATCTTTTTAAGATATATGTAAATTGAAAAGAAATGTATGTCATTTTATTAATTTGCCGAAAGCAGTTACTAAATATAAGTATGTTTGTGAATATAATTTGAATGGGTCGATTTAATAAATCAAGAAAACCGAATAGGAGTGCGCATAAAAAAAATTTGGATTTCTTTTACGAGCAAGTAGCAACATTTGCGTTTTTGATAACTTCACGCAGCAGCAGCTGTAGATAAATCTGGCAGCAAGAGCTATAAGGTATGCGAAATCAACTTGGATGGCTTTAATGGCCAGTTTCGCGGCTATTGGAGTTCGAATACAACTGCAACCACCCTCAAAGCTGATACATATGTACATATTATGTAAGTAGAACAAAATTTTAAACTTTTTTTTATCAACTTCCAGGTGGCCTCGTATTCGAATTTTTAAACAAGAAGTACCTTATAAAATTATTAGTTTTACAGAATACTTTTTCCTTTGTCTAAATTTTTTTTGAAGACGACAGGGCGGTACCGAACGAGCAAACTTTGTACCAAACGCTGTACGTTTAAAAATCAAATAATATCTAAGACCTCCTCAAGTATTGAATCCCAACAGTATCGATAGTTGGTTAAAAGGGTTCCATAGCTAAAAATCTGTTTGATTGGGTTTAATTTATTTATTCCCAAATATTAAAAATGTGCTTAAGGAATTCGCACCCGCTCCTTAGTTGTCTTTTGGTAGACTTATGTATATGGGCAAATTTTAAAAACAGGTAACCTTTGTTTTATTTAGCTTTATTTTGCTTTTGGATATAATTCATAGATGTTAACTTGGAGCCCCAAAAAAATTTTGAATCAATTTTTTTGCAAAACTTTTGAATTGTATGTAAATGTTTTAATTCAAAAAAAGATTAAAAACAGGTGAATTTTTTTATGTAATTTTTAAGAGCTGAAAACTTAATTATGTCATAACTTTCGAAGCACACCATATACTGATTTGAAATTTTATGTGCAATTAAGCACTATCTAGTAGGTAACTAAAGTGTGCTTCAAAAACTAACTAAATGGCAAGTGTGTTAATTACTTTTCAAAATTTTCGGTTTATCGCGTATGATTTTTGAAGCATTTCATTTTGAAAACTTTTTAAGCATGTATTGTATTCTACAAACAATTACGAATAATTTGATACCTTAACAAGAGGTGTGCTTTCAAGAATTAACCAACTTTTAAAGATAAAATATTCTGTGATCTTGAGCGTAATTTTTATTCCAAAAACATCTTAATTGAAGGCACACTTGGAAAATACGTCAAAACGATCTAAATCTTTTTATAATCAGTAGTCCTTATAACCAAGGTACATTGAACAGGTAGTATCAGTAGAGCAGCTGATTTGATTTATTTTCAAATTATTTGGTCTCGAAAATGTCAAATATTTTTAATTTTTTCTCACAAAAATTCTGAATTGTTAAAATCCATTTGCATGTGAAACCTTTTTCCATACAAAACAAGCGATTGAATAGCAGCTTTTGGAACGTTCGCCCAACTCAGCAGCACAACCGCTGATTACTGGCCCTTGTAAAGGATGGAGCAATGCTTCGAGAAGCAAACAAATTTACTAGGAAAGAAAGTTGCAACAATTTTTATTTTTTCCAATTTCAATTTTTTATTTTTTATAATTTTTTGTATTTCACATGGCACGCTTTGATTTAGAAGAAAAAATTCAGAACAGTTTTTGACACTTTCGATACCAGAAGCAACAACAAAATACACGCAAATGTTGTTTTTGCTCTACTGATACTACCTGTTTAATGTGCCTTGCTTATAACATTACATACGCCTGTAAAATGCTCCAAAAAAAAAAATTTTACTAGAAGGTGATTTACTAATTTTTAAGAAGGCTCCTTCTTGTAGTGAGAATATTTCGAGCGAGGTATCAAATCAACTTTTTAGGCAAAGGTTCTGATACTTGCTCCTACTTAATTGAAGCCTTCTGAACTCAATGGCGTCCCCAGTTTTGACAGATTGGCTCCACTTTTCGAGATAGCGGTACTTGAAACTTTCCTTCAATTTTAACTATTTTATAAATAACTCCCTCAGTTTTTACTAAAATTTTGCACATGCCCGTATTTTAATATTATCTTAACTATTCCATAAAATCATCGAAATCGGTTCACTATAACATGTAGCTTCCATACAACTGGTTGTTAAGAGACGTTGGCTGACTTCCAAAACGTATCAATACAATGTTTGGATACTGTTATACTGCGATATTCGAAATGTTTGTATATGCATTGCATATTTTAAATATTCAATAGAGCAATAAACAATTTTACTGAATTTTCCATATTTAAAACACCAATGGTAACCAATAACAAACGAAGCATCAACTTTGTTTCTGATGCGCTGATTGCTGTAGCGATGCGTTTCGGTAACTTTTCGGATGCGTTTTGGAAAAGTACACATTGTCAATATTTTGCAGTTCGGCGTTATGGAACATTATACATTGTTCGTATGCAAAGCAATCGACGTTTTGGAAGCCAGCCGTTGTTTCGCGTTATAGCTCCTCCAGTTAAGTAGGTAAAAAATTTAGTAGTATTTTTATTCATCATGAACACTGTTAACTTTGTTTTTATGATGAAGTTAGGGGCCAAACTCCATATCTGAATAAGCAGTTGTAGGGAAGCTATTTGTTAAAGTGTGCCTATTTCGACGATTTTCAGAATTAGTTAAGGAAATATTAAAAAATAGTAATGTGTAAAATATTAGTAAAATAACTTAACAACTAATCGAGTTATTTATAAAATAGTTAACATTTAAACAAATTTTCAAGTACCGTTATCACGAATTTAATGAGTTCAATTAAGTGAGTTCAACTTTCCAAATTTATTGCTCAAATTTTAAATTTGCACAGCGTAATTTGAACCCGACTTATTTGTTTTCTATTTCAGCGATTTAAATGTTTATTCCGCGTCTTGAAGCACTTGATGAAAATGGATTGCACTTATATTTATCAATTTATTAAGAGATTAAATTAAAAAATTAATTTTTTTTGTGCCTATTTTTTAGATTTGCCCGTAGTGAAATAATATAAAGTGTGCCAGATAGCAATGACATTAATGTATATGCGTGTAAAAAAAAAACACGGCTATTATTTCACTATGGATTTGCCCATATCTATGCTTTGAACTTCTTATTAATTTTTCCCAAATACCTTTTTTCATCTGAAAAATGTGTAAAATTGGTTAGGTTTTGTTTTCTGGCCGTTTATTGTAATCTTTGGATTGTTTTTTGAGCTCTAGGCTGAGGATAAATAAAACAATTGGATGTCTTATGGTGTTTTCGTTTCTACAAAAAATGTTGCCTTTTCATTGACCGGTTGTTAGTGTTTGTGCTTAGAGGGCAATGAGAAGGTAACATTTTTCGGGAGAAACGAAAACGCCATTATATTCCTTTTTGTTTATTACTGCCGATATTTCGCATTTAATCTAAAGACATCTTCAGGACTGCATAAAGACAATATACATACATATACAAATACATAATTATTTACAAAACGTACAACAAAACACAACTTACAATCGTGGCTTTTCCTAGTCGACTAAACATATGCGCGAAATGCATTAACAAACAAACTTGGTGACAATAAGTGTAAGCATGAAAATGTAAACAATTCAAAATACAGTAATCATAAACAAAAAACATACAAACAACAATACATGAAGCGATGAGCAGCAAGACGAAGATTAAAGGCGAAATATCGACAGCAATAAACAAAAAGGAATATCAGACTTCCAATTATTTTATTTACCCCCCGCCTGGAGCTCTCAAAACAATCAAAAGATGTGTAAAATTGTAAAACAAGTCCATGCTTCAACAATTTTTACCCAATTAAAGCCAAACCATTTGTATGCAATTTAGTTTTAGTTTTATAAAGCGATTTTTATGAGTGTATTATAAGCGTTATTTTTAAATTGAATGCATTGCTTTTAAATCCACTGAAATATACAAAACTTTGGAATATATGTAACAAATTTTATATTAGCCAAACATTAATTTTTCGATATCATGTTTTCAGCTTCACTAGCTCGCTAGCTTTCGGCATTTTTGATTCGTGGGTTTCTCATTCTTGCACACCAACGCGATTTACACATACACATCACACAACAATTAAAAACACTGACGCTACACATTCAAAGCAAGTCTACATTTCTTATACATACTACTTTTCATATATTTTTTTTTCATATTTTCTTATTTAGTTTTTAAAAACGTGTGGACAAATAAACTACACGGTATGTACGTTGGGTCAGGTGAGTTCGTTCAGTTGATAATAATTCATTCCCTACAAAATAATAATTCATAGCATTAGAAATTGCTACTTTTCTTACTGTTACATTTTTAAATTGTATATTTTCTTAAGCTTCATCAGGTTTTCTTACACAATCGGGTATATTTTAAAGATGCATCAGAAAGTAAAAAAAAAAAATCTTGGATTTATAAAGTTTATTAAAAGATCTAATTAGCCGGCATATAAAAACTATTAAATTAGAAACATATTTTTAACTTACATACATAAAACTTATCGAATTTCTTAAGGAATACGAACTAGCACTTAGGTATGCAAAATTATTCGCATTTACTGAACATCGGTTAATTATCACGTTTAATACACAGAAATTATTATTAATAAAAACTATGCATACTTGCACGAATTCATATGTTTGTAGATCACAAAAATCATATTAAATCAATCATAAACAACATAAATTTCAATACACATGAGTTCAATTTAATCCAACTTAACATAGGTTTATAAATTTTCTAACGAAGGTACGCTTTGTCTGGCTTAAACGGTACAACTTATGCAAGTAAAATATCATAATTCGCAACGTAATACAAAAAAAAAAAAAATAAAACTAATTATGCATGCCAGTGCACTAATAAATAATAGCGTTAATTCAAGACACAAGCGAGTATAAAAAGAATTTTTTTTCAATTGTCACGTTTTTGGTTGAATAATTCAACATCATTAAGCCAAAGCAATGCAGGCATAATATGCAGGGCAGTTCAAAGCCTTACAAGTTTAAAACTAAAAATGAAATAAAAAATTCAAAAGTAAAAAATTACCAAAATTCAAATTTCGAATATGTATGTATATGTAAGGCTTGAGCCTTTTATTTTATTCAGCATGTTGGTAATACTACGCAAGCGGACCTTAACCAGCAAGAAAGCACTCAGTTATTAGAAATGCAACAAATAAATACTTTCGAAGTACAAGGCGAGTTATTCATGAGAAAGTTGATCAATATTTACATTAGGTATTTTAAAACCTATGTACCTGTGTGGTACGCATGTTTATTTCAGCATTTAAGATGCGATGGTAGCCATTCTGTTGTAGAATTTTGTATTTAGTCAGATTGTAGACAATTATTTATTCTAATTTATTTACTCTTCATAAACTGAGTGCCTCTTGACGTTGGTTTCATTTTCGGTTTCTTCAGTGTTCCAATAAATACAGCCGTAAACAATTAACATTAAAATTAGGGTTAGCAACTAAATATATATCCATATGCTTGAATATGCATTGTATTGTGTGCAGTGGTTAATTGAGTCCAATTAAAATGGCCCGAGGCGATTATGCTTACACAAGAATAACAAAATCAAACCGCCCAAAACAGCCAAAATTGATTTTCGCTCGCCAACCTTATCACCGACATAGGTGGAGGACTGGTGCCGTACTTGCAGCTCATTTGCATCGCCGACAATTGTTGAACTACTGCGCGCTCGGCATGCTTGAGAAATCATAATACTTGTGCCACCACTGAAGTACTTTCCACTCGCTACAACAATCGTATCCTTAGCACACACAGGCTGTAGTTTCACGATATTTTTCTTCAATGATTGCTGCTGCTGCTCTTGTTGTTGTGGTTGTTGGCGGTGGCTGCGCTCACTCGCGACCACCACACGTCACAACGTAAATGTCTCCTTGAAAATCTTTTTAACAGCGTTGGTGACCGACGGTGTCTGGGAGCCTGCAGTCGAGTAATCAAATTTAAACAAATACGGCTGAACATCGGGATACGAAGTGTCAAAAATGAGATCCAGCTCACTTTGGCTCGGTGTCTTCGGTACATAATCCGATCGATTCATGAGCTCCGTAATATATATCACTTTTTCAGTTAGTAAATCTGAGACATTCTCACGGCTGAGCTGGCGATCGTCTTCGTTTTCGTATTTGATGAGATCTAAATGAACAGTCCACACTTCCCAGGGTATGCATTCCTGTTGGAACAGCCAGCGTGATTTACGCTTTTGAAAAAATTCTAAACTTATTTGGCCTGAGCCGCAGCTTTCGTTCGAGCGCAATTTCTCACTGAACACGTTGATAGCTCGTTTGACGGTGCGCAGCAGACTGTCGGAGGTGCAGCACACATAGGTGAAGTCAATGAAGTCGCAGTCCACATCGGTGTAGCCGATTGTGCCGATAGAATATTGAGCATCCCCCGTATACATATACTTTCCTTGGCAGCGATGAAAAAGCACCGTATGAAAGATGCTGGCAACAGCCTCGTCTACTTGACGACCCTCGATAGTGAGGTCAAAGACCTGCGAGCGAGCATTCATTTTCGAATTAGGAGGCGTGTGAAATTACCTTGAGCTGAGGCAGCAGTTTGTTGAATTGAAGTTTATGAAATTTTGACGCAACAATCAAAATGAATATCTTAACACTATCTTAAGCGCTTAAATACTAATCAAGTGCGTGAGGAAATTTCAGAATACAATTAAATATTTTTACAGTTTTGCTCTTTAAATAGTTGTTACGGGAATTCTTTTCAACTTAACGAAAATTTGTTTTGATATTTCGAATGCGGTGATAGTTTTTGGGGGTTTTTTTTTGTTAGTGCTGGGTGCTATTATTCGCCTGATCTAAAAATAGTCTATTTTAGTTGATTGTTTTTTGCACAAATTTGCGTTTTCAGAAATCGATTTGCTTATTTGGTTGTCTGTTAAATAACATTTTCTTTTAGTTGTTACTTTTTAAATAGTTGCCGTATGCCACGGTATGACTGGACACTTTTAATGTATTCTTAAAGGTATGGTTATTTGTGGTTGATTAATTTTTCTTTAAATCGTACCCATATATTGGAAAGTGCCGCACATTGTTCGCGTAGTTGCACCCAAGCGCAGCCACTTGCTAAGCCCGAAATCAGTTAGTTTTATGTGGAAATCGGCAGTCAGCAGAATGTTTTCCGGCTTAACGTCACGATAAATTACACCAGCATTGTGGAGAAAGTCTAAAGCGATTGATGTAAGAAATGCCAAAAAATGTTAGGAATCATTCAAGGTTTTGGGTATAAAATGAGGGATTTACCAATAGCCAGTGCGATTTCCGCTAGATATATCCGAATAAGTTCCAAGGAGAAATTAGTCAGTTTGCAGAACAGTTCCCCGTTCGGCACATATTCTAGAACTAGAAACGTTAATTGATTAGATTAGGCCTAAATAAGACATGAAGCTGTGTAAATTTCAATATAATAGGAAAATACATGTAACTATTAATTAAATCATTAACTAGGGCTTGGAATAAATGCATTAAAAACAAGAAATGGGTGCATTAAAAATGCAACAAAACTTTAAAAAAGATAAAAAAATAAAAAATACACATTTTAAATTTACAACCAACCAACGGCTGATATTTCGCCAACTTGATCTTTTTTATATCGTCTAACCCTTCCAATCGTTGTTAGTCCTTGGAGCAACACCTCGTAGCAGAGTTGTTCCGCATTGGAGCTGGCATTGAGTCTGCTCCGTAAGAAAATACAGCTCCATTCGGATTCCACAACGATTGTTTGTAACTCTTGCAACATACAACCCGCCCCAACGCAATGGTGGCTATTTCGCTCATCTGAACAACAAAACTCCCCTTGTCTTTCTCCTCCTACTTAAGCGTTGTTTGCTGAGTGAATACCAATATTGGTACCTGATGCCATTTGCCCGGCGTGTCAGAACAGAATATATCGAAACAAGGCAACATGAAACGCCAACCTGAGGAGGTGCCATTTTCTGGCCTATGCCCCATCCGTGACTGGGCCACAGGGCAAGGGGGTATGCTGCAGAGTATTTTGAAGAAAGCCAGTTTTTCAAGGTGGTCACTGCTGCAGTGTAACGCTTCTCGCCCACCAGTAGATTCGCCGAAATTCGACCTGATTTCCCGGCTGTACTTGATACCCATCTACAGAAGGTCATTCGTATCAGGTATTACTAACTACTATTATCAGTAGTGAAGAAACTTGAGGCCTAGAGGACTTATCTGCTGCTTAACACCAGCGAAGCATCAGCATGACTTGCACGGAGTGCACAGCACCACCACATCATTTAACTTGTAATTGTCCCTGTGAGAGAACCGCCGCGGTAGCGTTCGACTTGCTGAAAGTTTTCGATACCGTTCGTCCCACCGCAGTACAGTTTGCAAGCCATCTCGCCATATCTCGACGAAAAATATTTTGAGAGAACATTCGGGCAATGCATATAAACGCGTAAATGCCTCGTAACCTCGCAAACTTACTTAATTTTGTATGGAAAACCGGCTTATTTATGAGGTTTACGCGATTTCGAGGCATTTACGCGTTTAGATGAATACCCCTATTATGAAAAACTCGGTGTTTGAAGATTGAAGAGACCAAAAATAATAATTCCAAACTTCGAATTTTAAAATTTTCTTACGTATATGCAAATTACGGCGATTTTGCCACGCATCCACTTGTTGCACAATAAAGGGGTGATGGCCACACAACTTCTGGATATCCGCTTCGTCTTTTAATTGCTGCACGCCATTTTCCTCAATTATCTGTAACGTAGTAAACACATGAATTAATCATAAAGCACTAAGTACAACGCAAATGTGTCTGTAGGCAGTACAAATTAGTCATCGGAGACATTAATAATACTACAAGTCCATTGTGAAATTCATTTGAGTAGGTATTATGAAATATTTTATTAAGTTTACTTACTCTAGACTTTTTCAACACTTTAAGCGCATAAAAGGGTGCAGGATGTAGGGGCGTTGGTGATCTGCCGCCTGCCTGCTTTTGCACCGCTGCTGCTGGTGACTGCTGGTTTTGCAATTCTTGTGCGTAGTGTTTATTAATTACTTTGAAGACAACACCGAACGCACCCTTAGCCACGAGATGTACAATGTGGAAGTGTTCGTTGCGACTGGCCTCCTTAAAGTGTGAACTGAATATGGCATTGGTGAGCGGCGTGTGCCATTGAGTTTTGGATCGCCGCTGCTGAGCTGAAGTTAAACTGCAAATAATAAACATTAAACTACATTAACAACAATAAACGAGTTTACATGAATATTAAAAAAGAAAATAATAATTTCTTTTGCATTGTATTGAAAAACAAGTAGACACTGATGATTTCAATTCGCTTACCTTTTTCTGGTTGACTTATTGCGATTGTGGAATGAACTTCTATTAGCACCACCAGAAAAGCTCCAATTTAGACGACCACTTAGGCTACCGAAACTCCAAGCGGAAGCCTGTAAGAGATATATAAGAATAAATTTTGAGAAAAGATCTGGGAATTAAATAATAATAATAATAGTAATATTTTGGCGCTTACACTTTTGCCAAGTGTTTGATCGAGTTTCTCCACTAATTTCTGGAGTGCGTTTTGATATTGTTACAAAAATTAAGGGACCTACAGTTTAACGCCGCCTCCGAACGACAAATGGATTTTATGAGAGGCTACAGTAGAGTACAGTTTAATGTTTTGTGTTTATTTCAAGGATTGAAAAATTACAATGGACACACAAGTGTTATTTATATTCTCAAATAATAGAGATCTGCCCTGGTCGTTTTATTATTATTTTTTTTTTAATATTCGTTATTCTCCATTTGAGGTAAATTATTTTTAATCTCTTCAATAACAACAATGCCTTCCCATAGAGACGAACCATTGGTTTTAAATTTTTGCATCCAAGCAGAAATGCAATCGAAGTTGCGGGTTAATAAAAACAAAATCTGTTTTTATGTTATTATTTGTAAACTTTTCTTTAGTTCGACGAATAAAAAAAAGGTCAAGAAATAGTCTAGAAAAATTTATTGAGCAACAATTAGAAACTGTCAGTCAATTTATTTATTTCTGTAAAAGATCTTTCCTGCTCTACTTTTTTTTTCGTTAGACGGGTTTAAAAAAGTAATAAACCATACAAAAGAACAAAAACACATAGCTTGGCGCCAAGCAGTATTTTCTTTTCTTAAAACATATTTTTGTTTAGAAAGTTTCATTCTGCCCTTGACTGGTGATTTTTGCACTTTTCCATACAAGCAGGAATTTCTTATGAAATAAAATGCAGAAGACCGTTCGCTACAAAATTTCAAGAAATCAAGGGGGGTTTTTATAAACTGCACTTTTTATATAAAAAAAAACACAAAAAATATATATCTATTAAAAAATCAACGCGATTTTTTAGCCGGTTGAAAGTTGCACTTCACATTTTCTAAAAATTCACAATGAGAAGTGTGAAATTTTGATGAAAATTTGTTTTAATTTTCCTAAATGTTGTAAGTTTGATTTGCATGACTTTGGTTACAGCTTGGACAATATTTTAATAGCAAAATAACAAAAAAAAAAAAAAAAAATGAACTTGAAAAACATTGTGAATATTTATTAAAAAAAAATATACACTTGCTCACTTGTTTTTAACCGGTTTCACAAAAAGGAGGTTATCAATTCGTAGGAATTTTTCTTTTTTTATGTATGTTACCGCATAACTTTGGACGACGTTAACCGATCTAATTTTTTAAAGGAAAGTTGTTACCTCACAGGTGGTTCCATACTAACATACCAAATTGATTTTAATCCGATCATTGGATCATGAAGAAATTAACGATGATCTTTAATTTTTATATGAGAATTGAAGTCGGTTTTGTTTTTTGGCTTAAAAATTACTTGTTGATGTTCAGTTTAAATCAAATTTCCGTCAATCTTTAAAAGTTATGTATTTGATTTCAAATTTGAACACCCGTAATGGAAGGGATTAGAGGGTTATTTTTTAATTCCTGTTCCACAGTGTTATCAAATTGCCGTCGTATCTGCTTACCATCATGATGCTCTGATTATCTTGATACCGTTGCGATATTTACTGATGTTGAAATTTTTGTAGAAAATTTGTATATGTAAGACGTTTCAGTATTACAATTGTAATATTTATCTCATTAAAATTATTAATTAAATTGACATTCACCATATTCAAAAATAGTTTCGAAATAAAGAGGGTTATTTCGTTCGACCGCCATACTGACTTATTTACTTTATATTTTATGTTATTATATATTTTCATCTAGGTTAAAACCTATCCATGTGCCAAATTTTGCCAAAATCCGTCCTGACCTTTCAGCGTGAAAAAATAACAAACATACTCGCTAACTTTGAAATTTATGATATTAAATAGTAGGATTTGTTTTCACTGCTGCGGCATGGCAGTGTTGTTAATAAAGCAATCATTATTCAAAATTGATATGAGGGGTTATTCATATTTTTCATGTTGATAAGAAGCAATGAACTTTTAAATGGTATACGTGTCTAAATGCATTTGTCGAAGACACTTACATGCTTGCATTCGATGCGCAAAAGTCTTTGTACTTTAAACTCAATGCGTATTTAATAAAAAAAAAATATATATTTTATTAAAAAAGCTAAATCACGATTATAGGTAACCTTTGCTGAGCTTTGTCTCTTTGAATAGGTGATCCATTCGAATGCAATTATCGAAAAAAATTTAAACCGCAAACCGTTACAGGGGAAGAAGTTATTATGTACTGATGATTAAGTAATTAATTATAACGATGAATGTGCATTGTGCGCATATTTTAATTGCGATTAGAGAACAACACATAACAAATTATAAAAAGTCGGAAACAAATATTTAACATTTATTGTATAATGTCGCATTAACCCAGTAATGTTATTTATTGGTTACTCGATTCAGTTCGGAAACAAAAATGCAAAAATAACATTGAATTTGGTTACTAATGTTGTCATTGCAAACAACAACAACACGTTGCAAGCACGTGAGAAAAAGCACATTTTCACGCGCAATTCGTGCAATGGGCGAGCACAGCACAAAACACAACCCGCAGGCATAACAAAACTAGGCAATAAATACTCGTAATAATTCGGAAGCAACAAATAGGGGTATGATCTAAGCATGTGCTTGGAAAAATATTTATAATAAAGTGCTTTAGCGTAGAGAAATTTACGTCAGACGTTAAACACAACTTAAAAAAAATATCGATGAAGTTACATACATATGTACGTAGTTAATATGAATCAATATACATATGTATCTGTCATAGGCACTGCTTACTTAAATCCCTGCCAATGCAAATTTACATACAGTGGCGGACAAACAAATATGGACGTGAAATTTTAACGAATTTTGGCTGTTTTTCATTTGTTCAATTAATGATCGTTATTTTTTTTTTATGAAGTATAGCTGGGGAAGAATATTCAGCAAGAAATGGGAAGGTGGTATTAAAAAAAAAATTATCATAAACGGTAATGTGGAAAAACGTTGTAAGTGAAGGAACTGTGTTAATATCAATTTTGTTTTGTATTCCTCAAAAATAAAATGAACAATCAAAGAAACCTTATTGTTACATATATTTATTACATTCATTTGTCGAAAAAGGTTGTAAGCGCCACCAGCAAAGATGCTAGGCTTACTGAAAAAACGTTGGGATTTGGATATAGAACGTTTTTCCATTATTACAATTTTTTATATCGTTTTGTTTTTTTTTTTTTACTTGAAAGATATATAGGGATATATATTTAATTCACGGGCTAGTTTCTTGGAGACTGCTGCACCAAAAAATGAAAAACTAAATCAAATGACTTTATGTGCGTCATCAAAAACGTTTTTTTTTTCAATTCCTGAAAACTTATAATTATGTCGCTTATAACGTTATTCGCGGCGACCATTCATTTGACGGCCGCGGTGGCTGAGTGCTTCGAGGTACGGTAGTACGTATGTATGTATGTATTTGTGATTTTTAGCCATTTTTTTTTGCTGACGGTATCTCGCATTTTCTTCCATACAAAGTATGTTGGACAATTGTTTTTTGTATGGAGAAAAATGCACAACACAGCCAACAAAAAAAAAAAAAAATCAACGGTAAGTCCTAGCTACCTCAAACTTGCAGTTTATTATGCTGAAGTTTAATAGGCTACAAACCGCATACCTAATTTTTTTTAGTTCTGAATAAAAAGTTTAAAATTTTGATGAATATTTGTTGAACATCGTCGCATTTTTGTTTGCCCGCCACGCATACATATGTACATATCGCACACTTAGATCTAAAGTGAGCTAAGTCGAAATTCAGATTAGGAAATGTGACTGTTTTTAGTTAGTGTACACTGTACACAATCATGAAGAAAACTATATATATTTGTATTAATTGGAATCTATGAATTGATTTCTGCAAAAAAATTTTCCTATTTTTTTTAGTTACTCGCACCTTATAGTCTATACATAGAAATTAGTTATGCGAATGCTTTGGAGATAGAAAACCTGGATTTAGTTTAAAATAAATACGACCATGAATACGACCTAAGTATTAAGCATTTCAAAGAAATTAATCAAATCAAACTAATTGGAAATTCTCTTGGATTGCAAACTTATTCGCGTGCAATTCAAATGAAAACACCAGAAACAAGTTTTAAATACTTGTGCAATGGAAATTCTATTCCTCATGCCATTGTATTGTATTTGGTTTAACAGCAGTGACTAATTAAAGAAAAGAAACTAAAAAATAATTGCAATTGTTTCGACTATATGGAGGCAGGTAGAAAAGTCATGGTGACATTTGACAAAAAAAAAGTCCGGTTGGACTTAGAGACGGGAAATGTAAAAGTCATAAATACCAAATTTTACATTATTTACTAACCCCCCTTCTTTACGAACGATATGTTTTCAAAAAAAAAAAAAAAATACCGGAATTGGCGCGATACCGACTAATCAGTTTAGTTGCCTTTGGCGATTAACCCATTAAACAAAGTGTTTCATTTTCAACTATAGTCAATTTTTTAAATGTCGTGGAATATTTAGTTAATATTATCACACATCATCATAGAATGGTTTAGGAGCGAAGAAATAGCGAACTTACTAGGAAGCGCTAGGAAAAAGAGCTATTGGGGGGATACAAAAATAAAATAGTTGGTAAGCTTCTTTGCTCGCTAAGAACAAATTAATAGCCAATTGCAGGTGAACATTTAAATGGCACTTAAGTTTAATTTTGGACTGTTATTTAAATGCCATTTCATTTACGTGGGGTATCAGATCACCTTTATTCAATATGCCAAAGAAATGGCAACACTGTTGCTTGTTCCTTGAAATTGTTGTTGCATTTGAATGTTTGTTTACATTTTATGCTGAACAGCTGATTCTTGTTTGGTAGAATCACAGGGTTGCATTTCTTACATTTAAATAGCCAATATCGTCCATTTAAGTGTAGTTAAAATGCATGGTGGAATAAT